CGAAAGTATTTATTAAAAAAGGGTACAAAAGGGCAACCTTAAGGCGGTGGGTAAGTGATTGAAACCAAGCCACGAGATCACGACCAATAATATTGCTGATTCTTCTTTGGATCTTATGAAAGAGCTCAAGGTAAACAGCAGCGGCACCGGACCATATGTGGCAGCAATAGTCTAAGCATGGCTGAATGATAGACTTATAGATATGTCACATAGATTCTGGAGAGAAAAATTGTCTCACATGACACAGTGGGCAAACTTTCTTAACAGCTGAACTAGCAATGGATTCAATATAGTCTTTCCATTCCATGTCAGCTGAGAACGTTAACCCGAGAAGGTGTAACGAGACCCTTTCCTGGAGGTTAGCATCAGCCATGCGGATGGAAGGCAGATAGGGATCTCTCAGATGATTAATGCATAGAAGTTTAGTTTTGGAGGCGTTAAAATTGACAAGCCATCTTTTGCTCCAGTTAACGACTGTCTTGAGATCGTTTTCACCATCAGCTGCCATTTTGACCTTGTCTGACTGATCAGCCTTACTATCGAGACAGGAGTTGTGTCGTCAGCGTAGATGCCAAGTCGAGAGCTGATGTCATCGGGAAGGTGGTTAATGAAAATTAAAAACACCGCAGGACCAGGGATGGGGGCCTGCGGACAACCGCGTTAGCACGAAAGGGCTTAGATGACTTGCCGTTCAGGACAATTTTCATATGTGTACTTTGTGATTACTGAAACTAATACAAATTAACAGTTTTAAAAACTGCATACATGAATAAATATTATTGCATACATACATTTTCTAATATTTATATAAAGGTTTTGAAACAAAATGTGTATGTAACAAAAACGTATGTGTAAAATTTGTTCATGTCTTGCGGTTCTAAAACATCTGAAGTTTATCGTATTAAGCAAGCTTGGCCACTGTTGGTCTAATTTGACTCAAGTCATCCGCAGACCTTAAGTGGAATCCATAAATCCAATCTATTGCTAAAGATGCTAGAAAAATGGTCGCTCCATTGTACCCCTCCAGTAGGTATCTGACTCCTCCTGATAGACTTTACATGAGCAACGGCCAGATCAGAGCAAAAACGGAGTATAGCAGCGATATCTAGCTCGAAGTTACACAGTCTCCCTTTCCTGTCTGGATTTTATGTCCAAACGTACCTTAGTCCCAACAGCCCTTGCTTTTTCACCTGCGTCCCGCCGTGCCGCGTACACAAGGATGAATCATTCTCATTTCCCTTCGTATTCCATTAGTAAGGAGGAAGTTCTACTCGGACTGCTGCTTTGTGAAACAGACTACCGGGAGGATATTTTCCTAGTTACTGCAATCTTGATCTCTTCAAGACTAGGATTAACCGTTATCTTTTCTGCATAACCCCATGAATTTTACTTCTTGCCTTTTGTTCATACAACTCCACGCAGTAACACTCTACCCTGAGTGGCTCTTGGGCCTTGTATTCGGTGAACATTAGTATGAAAAATTTTATAACGCGTTCACTTCAAAGTTGAGAATCTTATATAATACGAGGGCCGTTTCAAAAGTTTTAAAACTAAATATGGTTCTTTTTACATTGATTCTAAATTATTATTTTATTTGATTACCTTATTATATTAGAGAAAGAAGTAAATAATTTCCATTTCTGTTTATCAAATTTATTCTTCAAATTTCGTTTTCAACGGCATATCAACTGCTTATGGGTCATTTAATGCCGAAATTTAATTTTCTGCTTTCAAGTAATAAAAATATGATATATGTTGTTCTGCTTTCACAATTGAATACATGGTAGATGATACTCAGCTTTTGTACATATACATGTTTATGTGGACATAATTACTAGAGGTGATGATATGTATGTTTTATGTTGTAGCTTTGTTGAAATTATATTTTGGCATCCAGTTTGATTTCTTTAAGAAATTGTAGGATATTATATGGACTAATATCAATAAAGAGTTATTCCTGGTTGATTTTGTTTCGGGGCATATCAACACCTCTATGGGTCATTTAATGACGAAATCTAAATATTTGAACACAATTTTATGGCTACAAATAATTATATATTTTAATGTAATTGTATACCTTCAAATACAGATGAAATATATTGTTGGTTATTTTGCTATAAATAGGTATTGCTGGGAATTTTACTATAAAAATGTATTTTTATACTTTCATTTATGTTTGGTGGGGATCACTATTTACCCATAAGAACAATTAAGAAGTGGTTCCACGCTCCTCAAAACCTCCAATCTCCCTATCAGAGACCCTGCTGCCGGATGCAGTTTATCGTCATACCTTGAAAATTAAAAATAAAACATTATTCTATGACAGTATCACTATTATTTGCAAGGACTTGTTACCAATTATCAGATAACGCTTCTATACCTTTTAAGTAAAATTCCAGTTTGTGATTTGAAAGAGTTTTCGACGACCTCTTGGATCTGATTTTCAGTGGAGAAAGAATTTCTCATCAAAGCATTTGGCAGCAATAGAGAAAAAGTTAATAATTGGTTGGTTCAAGGCCAGACGCATTTGGTGGATTGAGTAGCACAGACCAACCGTGGTTAATATTTTTTTGTCTCTCTGTTACTCTTGCTATACGCAGCCTTACGTTGTCATGGAGGAGAATAACGTTTTTCCTACTAACGAGCATAAAGAGCTTTTCAACCAAACGTTCATGGACACTTTGCAACTGCTGGATATATAAATGTGCATTTAGTATTTCACTGCGTTTTAAGAACCCTAAAGGAATAATAGCCCGACGATCCTACCAAACACACACACACACACAACATTAACTTTCTTACATTGAGTTTAAATTTTGGGGATCGTTGTGGAAATTTAGCCTTGTCTGTACACTATCTTTTGCATTGAACATTGTTGTATGCAACCCACTATTCATGGCCTGTTATGCTATATTTAAGGAACGGTCAGTTATGATGGTACATTACAGTTGGTTCCTAAAATGGCAATTACTTATGAATCAAATTAAAGGATTGCTTTTATAAATATTATTTCTATACATTGTTTCGAAGAGTTTGATAATTTTCATTATTATCGAATTTTTCATCTAATTTTATTTGAAGCGTTAAATAGAATCAGAGCAATTGATGATAAAATGTTCTTGAAATTTTGAATCTGGGCCAAATTGAGGTGCAGGAAATATGAGATAACATGTAAAATGCCTTCCAGTGAGACTGGCCTTTGTGTGGAATGGTCATGTATTGGAGAAGGGATCTCTTGAAGACAAAATTGGGGTTAGAAATCACTGTAGATATAACTATTGTTGAAAAATCAAATCAAAATATGACAAATATATTTTTAGGTTGTTATGTCATTAAGAATCTTATCCTCAAAGCCTTAGCAATACACCATATATATATATATATATATATATATATATATATATATATATAAGGGTGTATAAAAAACTGAAGTATGATATATTCAGTTGTATGGATATGAGTTTGTGACCCTGGGTTTCACGCTTTTGCTATTATCGTTTGTCTAATGATTTTTTTTATTCCGAGCGCTTTCGGCTATACATTTAACCATTTTCAAAGACGAAA